GGCCAGGGAGCAATCAGCCGTTGTTGCGCCCTGGATGAAAAATCATATCCAGGATATTCGTCGCAAAATGCAGGACAAAACCTTACACATTGGTTGGAAACGCGCAAATAAATAGTGCTGAGCTGTACGTGATGCATTACAATTATAAAAAAAGATGAGCCCACAAACTAATTCAGACATTTTTTATAACGAGCTACTGCAGTGCGCGAAACTGGTGTACGCTTGGCCAGTCCGAATGAGCCAAGCAACTCAGCCCCCGTATGGGTGGAGGCCAGCTTGAGGGACATGCGAAACTATGGAGCACGGCGGAAGCCAATCCAATTGGATGTGTGGCTGGCTCTGAAGGGGCGTGGTGAATTTCGCAGTTCGAAAACAGAGAATTTTTGACGAGAAACGAAAGAGTTGCTAGCGTTCTGTGCTCTCACCGCTCAGGATCAATTTAGTTTCCAGAAAAAGCGGCGAAGGGCGGTGCATTTCCGCGGGACTAATCTTCGTTAGCTGGTTCCTTCGCTCCGGTCTACTTCTGCCTATCTCTGCTCAGCTGTGGCGTTCTCAAGTTCAGTTGCGAGTTTGATCGCTTTTCAGGAAAAACGAGTAAACGCTTTTTAGCTGAAAAAACGATCTTTTGGCTTCAAAAACGACGACACGAGCTTTGAAGAACTTATTCTGCGGTAAAGTCTTTACTGCTTTTTGCCTTTCTAAAATGTGCCAAGTTTTTTGTATTGCAAGGCACTGGAACCACGATAATACTAGTCTTTAAAATATTTTAATATTTTCATATAACATTTCTCAAATGTGCTGCTGTAATCACTTCCATGAAAATGTCCTTTGAGAAAGGAAGCTGGAAATCCAGTTGCTGGATAATCACTTGTAGTTTTGAGAGACAAGAAAATAGGAGTGGAGAAATGAGGAAGAATGAAGTGTGAGGATACTTATTTAATTCGAGCAAAATGAAGCATACTATTGTAAAGTACGCTCCCGGTTTCTAAAGTTTCATAGCTCATATCAATCTTCTGAGTGGACTGGGGAAGCAGGCCTGGTTATAGGACTGCAAACGAAAATCTGTATTTTAGTAGGTGAAGCCGACTAGTTTGTGAAGGAGAGACACATCAAATTACGGTGCGCTCCCTACAGTACCTCCCCATAAATGTTATAGGCTACTGCTGTAGCGCTAGTTGTATTACCTCGCTCCGGCTTATTGCCCATTTATCTTAGGTGGAACAAGCTTCCAAAACTAAATAACAACTTAACGTACGGAAGCATGGGAGCCCTGTAGTGGTGGTCTTACTAGAACTCGAACTTCGGCCCAACTGACTTGCCAAGTTACAAAAAAGTACTTACGACGGTTTTGAACGAGAAGGGTTGGGGTTTTCGTTTTAGGTAAAGGAGAGTGGGAGGGGTGGGATGGGAAAGAGGATGGTGTGAGGAAGCACTGAGGAGTGGAGGAAAACAGGACAGGAAGAGGGGTTAGAAGATCAGGTCGGAGGAGAAAGGAAATCCTGGTGTATCGGCGCATGAAAAGGTACAAGATGATTTAGGAAATAATTTTTCTGGAAAAGAGAGAGGAAGAGGAAATTTCGTTGGATTCTTTTGAGGAAAAAAGAAGGCAGATTTGGTAGAGGAAGCATTGTAGCCTTCTTTTTCGGCAGTAACGGAAAGTGCGCTTCGTTTAACAGATATCTACGTGGCTCCTTCAAGACGAAACGTGTCCCAGCTACTTCTAATTAACCACTGGGGGGTTGTTGCTCACACTGTGCCGAAAGGATTACGTGTAGGCGAATTAGGATACTTAAACAGTGAATAGCTTGACAGACTGGGGAAGGAGGGAAGGCAGCGTTGAGGATAATAGAGTAAGGGTAGTCATTTTCGAAAGCGGACGCAACATCCTGGGTGAGTGAAGTAAGGAATTGTTGTAATCAGCTTGTATTTGTGCTACCAAAGCTAGAAATGATGAGCAATTGCAAGCCTGACTGCTTCTGCGATTGGGAAAGCATTTTCCCAGCCGCGGAAGCAGTTAGACCCACGATAACAAAATGCGTCCATTTTGCTCCCTCCTCTCCTCTCGCCCTACTTTGCATACGTTTTTTCGCACAAATTAAGAATGTATAGCATTGGTTTGAATATGTGTTTGCCTGTCCAGAGAAGAGCCGGATTTGGAACTGTGAAAGCAGTGAGGAAGACACTTTCATAACATAGCCGTTGTATGGGGCCCCAAAATCAACCTCCGCCTCATTTTGTTTTTGGAATGTGGCCGTGTATTTGAAATATTTTATGCTTTGACGGACAACAAAGCCACTGAAAGATCGAAAACCGCAAAAAATCAAATTGCCTTTTTAGTGAATTGAGTTCTGGAAAAAACCAGGTGAATAATTTGAAATCGGCTTTTGTGGCTCATTCTATGCTGATACTCCCTTTTGTGATTTTTATTTCAGGCTGAATTTGTGATTTGAAAACGGGATGAATTGAGTAACAGGAAAATTCTTAGTTTTGTTTCATAAGGCGATGCAAAATGAGTGATGGCCTGAAATCAACTCTCCATCGCCACCGTGCCTCATCTCGTCTTCTAAGTGGGCGCTATTGTTACCTTTCCAAGAATGGCGAATTTTAGTAGCTGAGGTATGCCGGATTGTTTAAAAAATTATCAAGTTGAAGCATAACCACGCTACTGGAACATTATACGATTGTACCAAAGGCAATTTTTAGTAAAATTTCAAGCTTATGTTAGTTTTCAAACACCCATCGCTGTTTTTTGGCCCCACTTCAACTCCTAGTAACTTCTAAATGGATTATTGGTCGCAGCAAAGAACGAAAAGACAGATAAGCAGATTACGTGAAGTGCATCGTGTAAAAGAAGTGAC